TGAGAACAACTAAGGACAGTGAAAATAAATTACATGGGAAAAGTGATATTCAAGAGAGCAAGGGTTTAAAAAATACACTTCTTAAATTTCACCCAAGACCTGAGCTCTGCACCATTTACTTGTCCATTCATTCAATAATCAACACCCAATTGTGAGCCCTCATCATGTGTCAGGTCCTATGCTAGACCCTGAAGAGACAACTGTGAATAAATTGGTGAAGTCCTTTGCCTTTTTGAGTTTATTCTAGTAGAGGAGACAGACTGTAAACAAACAAGTAAATTTATAATACCTCATGACAATAAGTACTAGGAAGAAAAGCAAAGCAAAACCAAAAGATAGAGAGTAATGGGGAGCAGTTTTAATTCTAGAGAGATGGCCAGCAACGCCTCTCTAATAAGTTGACTTTTTCTCTAAGAGCAAATGAAATAAGTGACTAGCCACGTGAATGTGGAGGAAGACTATTCCAGGCAACGGCATCACGGGCAAGGATCCTGAGACAGGTATATTCACAGAAGAGCTGGAGCAGAATGAAAGAAGACGGTAAGGCCAACGAACGGCTCAGAGGTTAAATAATGGTAAGGACTTTGGATTTTATTCCTAGTGAGATGAGAAGCCATTGGAGGGTTTTCAGGGGAGAAGTGACAAGATGTGATGTATTTTTAAAGGAAATGGACTATAAACTATTAGGAGTTTACTTGAGAAGGTAGCATAAAAGCCAAATACTACTGACTTAAACACATGAAGACTTGTTTTTCTATCACAAAAAGTAATTTCAGAGGTGAGGAGCTCAATGGTAGCATGGCAACTCCAAAGTCATCAAGGTTCTGGGTTTCTCTTATTCTTCCATTTTCCCATTCTTAACAAGTCACGTCATGATCCAAAATGGTGGCTGACGATGTAGCTATCACATTTACACACCAGCAAGTAGGAAGAGAAGGAAGGAAGGCAAACAGGGTGTGCCCCCTCCTGGGTCAGGTCTGCTTTGGGAAACTTGCCAATGTCTTACATGATACTTCCCCTCACATCTCATTGGCAAGCTCCTAGGCACAAGGCTGTGTATAAAAAGAGGTCAGGAAACACAACATTTTACCTGGGTACATTGTTGCCACAAATGAAACTGAAGTTCTGCTATTAAGGAAGACAAAGAGTTGAAAACATAGGAACTAATTAAAAAGCAACTTAAAATGGTCCTGGCCAAAAATTATGGTGGTTCAGACTAGGTTGGTGCCAATGGAGACGCTGATATATGGGACACATGTTGAAGATCCAGCCAACAGGATTCACTGATGAATTGGTCACAGGATGTGAGAAAAAAAGAGTCTAGGATGCCTCTAAGTTTTATGGCCTGAGCCACTGGACACACACAATTCCAACAAGTGAGAAGGGGAAGTTCCTCAAACTTTAATGTTTGTGTGTATATTAATATCTATGTGATCAGAATATGTCTCAGACACAAATGACAGGCTTGTCACCTCCTCTCCGCTTCCTCGCTCTTATTTCACGTTCTCAATACCCTGATTACTCCAGTCTGCATTTTGCCTCACTGCCTGCATCACCTATTTTAAAACTAGAAATTTTACTGTTTTTGTAATTTCAAAATTCTAAGGGGTACAAATGTTTTTCTTACATGGAAACATTGTATAATGCTTAAATCAGGGTTTTTAGCATGCCTGTCACCAGAATAGTGTTCACTGTAGCCAACAGGCAAGTTTTATCCCCCACACACCCCTGCCCTCCTCCCTTCTTGGTTTCCAATGTCCTTTACGTATCTTTGTGCCCATGTGTGCCCATTGCTTAGCTCCCACTCTTTTACATTTACTTTCTAATTATTTTTTCTTTAATAATATTATACATTACCGACATTAAGTATTATTTTTCATTTTTTCATGTACCTCACACAGAGTTCCTAGGCCACTTAAGAAGAATTCACAAATTATCAACTGAACAAAATTTGAGCTGTGCACTTTCCTTGTTTCCGTTCTTTCTAAAAGCTACGATCCATAGCTCTAGGATAAAAATCTGAGAGTTTCACTCTAGATAACCCTGTTCCCTGCCAACCACTCCTGTATCCTATTTGTATAGTAATTGTTATCCACTACTTATGCTCTCACTCCTACCAACTGTCCTTCTTCCCAAGAGAAATAAGGGATTCTTCCAATAACTAACTCTCCCTCTCCACAAGATGAAGGTTTGTCTTTCCAAACCTAGCTCACTTATTCTACGTAATATGAGAGGAAAATATTGTCTAAACCAGGAATATTAAGGAAAACCACTATTGGAAGGTAACAGTATTTGGGTTGTTCTCATGTAGAAATCTACAAGGGTGAGAAGCCAAGTGTGTGCTACACTTATCCCTGCCCTTCCGCTACTCTTTGCTCTCCCTCCAATGCCTCTTCTCCATCTTAGGTCTGGTCCTATCAATGTCATTCTTTGATTGAACCTTGACCTGGAAGTAATAACACATCCAGAGCCTCAGTAATCCACCACTTTTAGCTGGGAAACTTCCCCCAAATGGTTGTAGCAATATAAGGCCAAGACCCTTGAGTGCCTGCAGGGCACCCCACCTCCAGCAGCATTTGATTCCAATGGGGATAGCCCTAGTTAAAGGCTTGCCCAGAGCATCTTTTCTCTGAGATGAAGCTTTAGGTTTGTAATTTTCCCTTGTCATTGCTAGTCCTTAGGTAGTTGATTGGCTGTCAATAGATTGGCATTCCCCATAGCCACTAGCTACACACACACACACAAAGACAGGGCAAGAGCCCAAGCTGACAGGCCATTTTTCCCCCAGTGGGCACTAATTAACTGATTCAACTGAAAACTTCTTGCTACTAGAGAAAGAAAAACAGCTTCTAGGATACAGAATGACAAAACGCCTAATCAGAAAAGCCTGATTTAGTCTATAAGAGACAAGGATTAAAATGACATTAGTTTATCCCCTTCAAAATATTTCATTTTCCCCTTGTTGTAGCTCTTACTTTAACCAGAACAAATGTTTGCATAAGTGTTAAATACATTTATAGTAAAGAATCGTGTTTTAGGGAAGAGTTTTACAGATATCCATAACTAATCACATCTCCCAAGTAATTTCCATTTGCCAATGAACAGAGGCACTTTGATAACCATTCCTTGTTATCAGCCATGGAAGTAGGCAATGATTTTTATTCTCATTTAACAGATAAGGAAACAAATGCACGAAGAGGTGAAATAACCGACTTAGCCATTTGACAATGCAGTAGAAGAGTTGAAATTTGAATACTCAGTCCCTTCCAACTTCCTAGACCCTAGAGCTATGTGACCAGTTTTGCAGTAAGAAAGCCTATTTATATGACTTTCCATGGGACCCAGAAGTCAAAACCACAACAGGGTAAAAGCAGGAAGACATTGCTTTCTTGACAAGGAATTTCAAAGGCAGCAGCATTAACCGATTTCAGGGCATTTTGCTATATTGTGGGGGCTCCCCTGAATAAGCATGACTAAAAAGTGCTTGAATAAAGAAGCATATTCTTTGAGAGCACTGTTAACCTTCTTGTTTTCGAAAAATTAAAATAATCAAGCTCTGTGCTTAGGAGTCCAAAGAAAGGCCTTTCTCTTTGAACCCTCTGACCACTTCTTCCTTTTCATAGTAAAATCTCAATTTGGTCTGAGAATAAATTGTCAACTAAGTTTTAGAACTTATCCATAAAGTTACCCTCCCTCCTGCCCCTGCGAGTGTTAGAATTACGCAGAGTAATGCCACTGATCTTCAAACTCCACAGACCTTTAACGTGCAGGAAGTTGAGGATGCTTGTATTGGTGTCAAGCAGGAGCAGTTGGCCACTCTGCACTGTGACATTGTCGCCATCTTGTGGCACTCTTTCAGGAAACCAGCTGTGCACCCTAGACCATCTCCGGCAAAATTGAAAGGAAAAGTTGCCCTGGAAAACAGAGAAGTGGTTCTTTTTAAGCAGGGTGGTACAGGTGACCCATCAAAATAGAATCCTTTCAAAGAAAGTAAAATTAATTTAAAGATTTTAAGTATTTCCATAAAATGAGTTATCCTTCTCTCTCCTGCACAACTAACCCAAACAGGAAAACATATGGAAGAGGCAAAATTATACTTCCAGTGCCTCTGTGCTCAGCCCCCAGAATTCTCAACAACATGCGGATAATGTTTTCTTACCTTTTCTTCCCCCAGCACAAGCCTCCTTCTACCTAACAGATGGGGTTGATTCCATTTTTTATTTTTACAGACATGTATTGAGTCTTGGACAAAAAGTCATAAATAGCCTGGAATAGGGAGAATTAAAATGTTCTGCTTGATGGGTGGCATTTTGCTTTATGTAATTGGTATCATTTTTCACTGGCTCTACTGCCAAGAGTCCCTGTTTTATAGGAACATTCCTCTTCCCAACTGCTCAGATCCATCCTCCCACTCCGGCTTTTTTGATGGTATTGTTGCCTTTCCCTCTGTGCCCGGTGCATCGGTGCTGAACAAAGCTCATGCAGGCACAGGCGGAATGCTGACCCACTTCAGATGACGAGCAAATAGCCCGGAACCACCGCAGGAAGGGCAGGGAGCAGGGCTGAGGGAAGGAGCCCAGAGACGGAAGCACCCCCTCCTCTCCAGCCTTCAGTCCCTTCTCAGAACTTCTAGCTTACTTGTTAATTTATGGTCACACTGGTGTCATGTGTTTTTCAAAACAAGGATGTAAAAATCACAGAATGGTATTCAGTTCACACAAGAGTCTGAGAACACGTCTAAATGTCTTGTGAGGTTGTGGAACTATAATTATGATAAATATAAGAAAATCAGAATAGAGAAGGTGATTCCCTCTAGGTAATACCTGCAACATGTGTGTGTCTCTCTCCACAGTCTTTTTCCACTCAGACTCTAACCAAATGTGAAGCCCTAGTTCTTCTAGGAACAAACCTCCTAGAAGGTCCTCTCATAACATGTCAGAGGCAGATGGGAGAAGATTGTTAGAAAGAAAGGCTTGTTTGTAATATCGACAACTACACCTACATGGAGAATAATGCTCTGGAGAGAGATGCTCTTGAAAGAGAAAATGGAAAACTGTGTGGCCTAAAGAGCCAGTATACTTTCCAGAAGAGGTCCGTGATCCCTAGGTCAATAGTTCTGAGTTGCAGATCCAAACCAATCACCAAGCAGGCTTTGGGACAAGGAAAACATGCTCTTTTCATATTCTACATCTACCAAGGAGAAATAAAAGCCTATGACTCATCCCAATCTACGAGATGGAAAGTCATAGTAATAATCAGCCCCAGCACCACAGAAAAAGAATAAGTTGCACACGGGCGTCACTGTGAGCTGTACAAACCTTGTCCCCACAATGACTACGGTGGGCTAGAAAAGCAGGAGAGAATTTTAACTGTCCAGCTGATGCCCCTATAGGACGAGTATAGGTTGGTAACATAACAAAAAGTGCTTCTTATAAGGCTATATACATTATGCATTCTTATAATCTTTTAATTCACTCCCACAGAATATAGAAAGAGGAAAGGGAGGCAAACAGAAGGAAAATGGAATGGAATAAAATGGTGAGAGAAGGTGGAAAAAACTGAGACGACGAAGTCAACTGCAGAACAGGGTGAACGGGTTATCTGTGTCGTCACCTCAGAGTCCATGAGAAAAGGACATTTGAAAAAGCTTGAATTTCCAAAAGGTCAGAGATGGGAGGACTCTAGCAAGATCCTATCCCTTCATTTTGAAGATGATGTTTCAGAAATTGTTTCTTAGAGCCTAATAAAATGCAGATTGCCTCAGTGCCATTCTAAGCCTATGAAATCAAAAGCTCGGGAGGTGGGACCCAGGGATTGTAATTTTAATGATCTCCTCAGACGACACTTCTGCATCAAAGTTTGAGATCAATTCAAGGAAATGGCTAGAAGGAAGGGGAGAAAATATTTCCTAAAAAGGAACCAAGAAGTTTTCTCCAAACCAACACTCAAAGCTTAGAGTCTTTGGTCAGAGTCACTCAAAGACTAGCTGGCTGGGCAGGGTGCTGCATGGATGAACTGTAAGAAAGATGAAGAATTCGGCAGCAGAACTCTTTCTGAGACATTAACCTGGTGGTAGAACCAGCCTCAGAACTACAAAGACAACCAGGGCTCATGATGCTCAGAGTAAAAAGATCTGGAACAACTAGATATTATTTAGGTATTAATACTTAAGACAGCTAAAGGAAGATCATTCTATGGTGTTATCCATTAATTAATTTGAGAACATTTTAAAATTTTTATGATTAACACTAATATCTGTAATCTAGCTCTGAAGGAACTTTAAAGACCTTCTCTCTTGCTCTTAAGCACCTGTGTGTACCTCTAGTATCTTCCATGTTTTATACCATTTTGGCCTGGGCAAATTTTTGAAGGAGTCTAGCCTTCAAAAATTGCTAGACTCAGCCCCAACCCAGTAGGTGGGAAGGTCAAATATTGTTATCTCCACTTTATAGTCTTTAAATGATGTGTCAAAGGCCATAATGATGGAGACAGGCTGGCATCATGCAAAGCAAGCTCTCACCTGAAGTTTTTCACTCACTGTGCCTCTCCTGGGACACTTCCCAAAACATCTGCATGACTTACTGTCTTACTTCATTCATGTCTCTGCTCAAATACCACCTCCTTCCTTGAATCATTATTTTACAAAGCACCTCCAATCACACTCTCTCCCCTAATACTGCTTCATTCTGGTATTAGATCATGTAACTTACTGCATATTATTTGGTTATCATTTATTGAGCTTATTCAGATGAAGCAGGGATTTTTTTTTTTTTTTTTTTTTTTGGTCATTGCTCTATCCCCATACCCCTAAAAAGTGTCTGGCACACAGTACGTGTTTAATAAAAATTATTGAAATTGTTTTCTTCTACCTGCTAATCCCATAAATGCTTTTATAAGTATCACACACACACACACTGATACAATAGGTTAACATATAAATGCTAAGACCTAAACTACTTAAAATGCTACATATCCCCTAGGTCTCCTGATCCATTGGGTTTGACCCATCAACTTTCGCACTCTTTTCATGTTTTCAAGTTCTATTGTTGGAGAGCGCTTCTCAATTGGAACCTGAGACTCAGATCCAGTCTCTCTATGAAATCTTCACCGATTTTTTTCTTTCACCTTAGCTTTTTCCATTCAACGTGGCAGATTTCAAATGAGTAGAAATGTTAAGCATTCAGTTTCAAGAGACATAAGCTCCTTTGGGTCCTGATTTCTCCTCAATAGAATAAAGATATCTTGAGATGTATAAATGTTTATTGATGATTCATGGTTTTTTATACAAAACAATGGCTAAATACTAGAAGTTCTAAAAATTAATGCAGCCTCAACTATTTAACAGCTACCTGGGGAAGTAGGAAAGCAATTTATTTATAAGATTGCAAGTTGTCAGCATAATCCATGATTACATGTAGGTTGCCATAAGAATGTTAGCTTTCCTACACTTTCACAGATGACAGGCCTGGTGGCATCATGTCCTACACAGCACTCCCAGGGCGATGCTCCATGAAGCAGGGGATGGCTCACCTTCCAATATCCTATCCTCCAAGCATTGTCACTTTGATCCAATCAAGCATAAAGAATGCTGGCAGCACAGATAAAAGAATTTTTTGTCTATATATTTGAGAACCTCTCTGTTGATACCAACGTGACATTTTTGGTGAAGGCCCTGCTCTGCATCACCAACCCAGCTCACAGGCCATTGCAGGTTTCACTTCCACCTAATATAAGTTCTTTCCCCCACAGTTACTAAGGGGCTCGGCCTTTAGCTTTAGCTTTCTTCTTTGAGATAAACGCATCACTCATTCCCATTCTGGAAATGAAGAAAATCATTTCTTAACAGGTGTATGGGGGCAGATGTGGGAATAGAGATATAAAAACTGTCCAGAACATGCCCTCATCTTCACATGCAGCCCCAAATAAACAACAACAACAAAAAAAAGCAAAAAACTTTCCTGCCTCAGCTAGGAAGCTTATGCAATTTGTTTTCTTCTTAGAGCATGTCAGCACTTCTCTGAACTTCAGGGAATGTGCAGTGTCTGCAAATCTTGCATGTCACCTTAAATGTACTTGCAACACCACCAGAGTTATCTTGAAAGAAGTCATTGATCAGCAAGTTGGAACACCAAGCAAAGCAAAGACCTATTTGTGAGCATAGGCATTGAGCTGGAGTGGCAGAGGAGGTGGTATATGGGAATCTCTAATCACAGTGTCTCCTGGCTGACAAAGACATGGAAGAACTGTTCTGACACCTCACCAGAATGCCTTCTTCCTCAACGTGCAAATCCTAGAAATAGGAAGAGACAAGTCCCTGTAACCAACATTTTCTCCATGCCTTACCCTCTTTTATTTTCTCCAAAGCACTTACCACCTAATACACTGATACTGGTTCACAGTCAGTCAACCCCTGATAGAATGTAAGCTTCACAAGAGCTTCCTGGTTTTCTGCTATATCCCTAGTACCTACAGTGATGCCTGCCACATAGGAGGTGCCCCCAAAATATGTTGGAATGAATGGTCAACACTTAGTTGGACTTATAATCACTATGCTATAATTAAAAATATTTTAATAACTAAAGTAATTCAATATGAAGCTATAGTTTACTTTTATTCAGTGCTTATTTACATGGAAATGTTTTTAATTTTTATAAAACCAACTTTATTTACCTTTGCTTTGTGACATTTCTTTCCTTTATGGATAGAACATTCTTCTTTCATTCCGACATAAATATAACATATTCTTCTCGATTGGCAGGTTTTATATTTGCATGTTACTCTTTAACTATTAATAACTTACAATTTATGTTGGTGGAAAGTTTTCCGTTTTTCTTTGTTTGTGTTCTTACTTTTTCTCCCCTAAATAGCTAATGTCTTCATGCCATTTATTAAATAATATTTTCTCTCCCAACTA